TTTATTTTTGTTGGTGAGCAGGCAACATGGGAACGGCGATGAGCGCATCGATCGGTGTGATTGATTGACTGATTAATTAATTAATGGATAATTAATCAATTAATTAATTAATTGGCTGGTTAATTGATCAATTGATTAGATGAGCGTTTTATTAACTATTGTAACTAATTTAATATTTCCATTTTGCTTTAATAGTTTCATTGTGTTACTTGCTACGATGTAATTTATTTCTATTAAAATGTTGTATGTTTCGTGTTAAACCATTGCCAGTTTGTTTTATTAATTGAGGGCTATTTGAAGTTTCATGTCTCGAAATGAATATTTCTAAAATCATTTTTCCTATGTTCGCATATTGAGACGATTAACATCTCATTATAATTAAATTTCACGATTAAATCATGTACCATGTTGCGTTTGCGTTACTGCTGCTAAAATTATTCACTGGAAAGTAAAGTAGTAAAAAAAATCCAGACAGACGATACTACTACCACTACTACTTTTACTACTACTACTACTACAACAACTACTACTGCTTCTACTACTACATCTACTACTGCTACTACTGCTACTACTGCTACTACTACTACATCTACTTCTATTACTACTACTACTACTACTACTACTACTACTACTACTACTACTACTACTACTACTACTACTACTACTACTACTACTACTAATAATAATAATAATAATAATAATAATAATTGTAATAATAATAATAACTCCACTAATAATAAAAATAATAATAACAACAATAATAATAAACAATAGCATTGTTTAATTCATAATGTTAATTTCAATCCGGCAATAGAGATTAATGCTTATTTCTACATTTTATCCCACACGGGCGAACCTACCAACAACAATGATGACGACGACGACGACGATGATGATGATGATCCCAATCACCACTATGTTGATGATGATACTCCAATGATCATGCGATGGTGATGATGATGATCAAAATAATGATTACGACGATGATGAAAATGATGCCATGCCGTCAATGCAGAAGACGTTCAGGTACCTTCGTTCGTTCATTTATTCATTTACTCATTTGTTCATTCGTCTATTCATTTATTCATTCGTTCCTTCATTCGTCCATTCATTTATTCATTCGTTCATTTCTTCATTCCTTCATTCATTAAGTAATTCATTCACTCATTTATTCGTTCGTTTATTTATTCATTCATTCATTAATTCAATTGTTCATTCACTTATTTGTTTGTATGTGCGTTCATTTGTTCATTCGTTCGTTCGTTCGTTCGTTTTTTATTATTTTATCTTATTTATTTATTATTCATTATACGTTAATCCGTTTGTTCGCAGGCTCACTCATACATTCCTTCATTCGTTTATTTATTTATTCATTTCTCCATTTTCATTAGCCACCATCCATTCATCCGTTTATTTATTTATTCAATCATTCAATCAATCACCCCTTCACTCATTCACGTCAATAATTATTCATCTATTTCTTAACGAATTCTTTCCAATGTTGCTTCATCCAGCCTCTCCATATATTCCTTTCATTACTTTTACAAATTTTTTCATCTTCTTTTGTCAGTTCAGTTTCTTTTACTAATTTTTTATTCGTTTATTTATTTATCCATCTATCCATCAATTTAATGGATGGATAGATATATTCATCTATCTATAGATATATCTATCTATACATATATCTATCTACAGATATATCTATCTATAGATATATCTATCAATAGATATATCTATCCGTAGATATATCTATCTATCTATATATATATATCTGTAGATATATCTATCTATAGATATATTTATCTGTAGATATATTTATCTGTACATTTAGTTATCTATTCAATTTATTCAGACAGAGCCTGCAGACCAGAAGCTTGACATAAGCTAAGCCTAATCCACCCTAGACGCAAGAAAAAATGTACCAAAATAAATAAAAAACAAAATTAAACATCAAAATGAAATATAATGCTCAAATAAATGACTAATAGACAGAATAGTAACAGTAATGTATTAAGTTTTTAATGAAAAAACAACAGACTTAACACGTTTATAATTGGTACGAGGTCTTGCTTGCAGGGGCAGTTGATTCCACAGCTGCGTGCCTGCAAGCAAGACACCATTGCGACAAACACTAGTTTTTATTAATGGAAAATCAAATTCAACACGATGTCTGTAGTTGAAACTTTTATTATACTTATAAGTATCTAGGATAGACGAAGCTTTTGGAGATTCATTTTGAATGTATATTATGTATGGACAAAACTGCAATTAATACGTCCGTCCATTCGTTCACCAATTTATTCGCCTAATTATTCATCTGTTCATCCATTTGTTTGTTTGTTTGTTCATACATTTATTCAATCATCTACCCATTAATCCGTTCATCCATTCATTCATTCCATTTAACAAGTATGTCAATTCATTATGTTCAGTTCAGCTGGTAAATAATAAATACATTTCATTGGGTCACTCCGAACATTTGAATTATTTATCGTCTTTATTTGTTTATCTCAATCATTTACTATTCTTTCTGCTCCATTCATTTTTTTTCTTTTCATTCCATTTTTGTTATTCATGAAGTCATATCATTCCGTCATATTTTTTTTAATTAATGCGGTCATTCAACGTCCCTTCATTCAACTTATTCATTCATTAATTTGTTTTTTTCGTTCGTTCGTTCGTTCATTCAGCATTCATTCATTCATTTATTTTTTGTCTATTTAATTTATTCATTTTTTCGTTTTTTAGTCCACTCACTCACTCACTCACTCACTCACTCACTCACTCACTCACTCACTCACTCACTCACTCACTCACTCACTCACTCACTCACTCACTCACTCACTCACTCACTCACTCACTCACTCACTCACTCACTCACTCACTCACTCACTCACTGAACAACAGCGGGGTTCTCCATCTCCTGACCGCAGCAAGTACGACAGGACGAACAGGCACAGCAGGCCCTTGGAGAACAACCACGAGTCAGTCAAGAGGAGGAAACACGAGGAGAGGGCAGGGGTGAGTTGTGATGATGATGATGGTGATGATAACGACGATGATGGTGATGATTACGATAATGATGTTAGTGATAATGAGGGTGTTAGTGATGATGATGATGATGACGATAACGATGATGATTAAGGTAATGATAGTGGTAAAAATGGTGGTAGCGATTTCGGTGCGCTGTTGACGATGATGGCGATGATGAGGATGATGAGGATGATGATGGCAAAGATGATGACGATGGAAGTGATCAAATTGATGAAGATGATAAAAATTGTTTATACATATATAAGTATGTATGTGTAAATATTTGTGAATGTGGAGGAACATTAATGAGTTGGTTGATAATAATGAAACTTGATTTAAAGTTATACATTAATTTGCTTATGATCAGAACAAGTTAGATTCATTGTGAATTATTTAATGCAGAAAGATTTGTTACATATTCGAATGCTTATAAAGTTGTTCTAGTCTGTGTGTGAATGTACGTGCGAGAGGTAGAGTGTTTGTGTGCGCGTGTGTGCGCGTGTGTGTGCGTGTGTGATCGTGTGTACTCCTCCCGAAAATGATGTGTGTTTTTGTGTATGTGTGCGTGTGCGTGTGTGTGCGTGTGTGATCGTGTGTACTCCTCCCAAAAATGATGAGTGTTTTTGTGTATGTGTGTGTGTGTATGGGTGTTTGTGCGTGTGTGTGTGTACGTGTGTGTGTGCGCGTGTGTGTGCGTGTGTGTGTGCGTGTGTGTGTGTGTTCTTCTCCCGACATTGACAATGATGTGTATATTTGAATTGAGTTTTCGATTGGCTTGTGATTTGTGGCTTGTCTCCATGACATATCGATAACATCTTGAATCATTTTAAAATGTCTCAAAATTTAATTTTAATTTTAAGAGTTTTAAAATTTAATTATCATTATTATTATAATTTGATTAATAGTTAATTAATTAACTAATTAATTAACATTTAATTGATTAGTTATATAATTACATTAATCTTCATTCTATGTGTATGTTATATATAATATTTTATTTCGCCATGGATCGAGATAAACAGTAATTGTCATCGAATAAGAAACATAAAAATTATTAATCAGCACGAAACATCAGCACATCTCTTTAATGTTGCAATCCTAACCGCTCTTTAATGAATTAACTATCATCTGATGATGTTAACAATATACCCAGCATGAAATTATTCCTTACATTTTTGCAATTCTTGCCGCTATTAATAAATATCAAATGATCCGAAATAATTCTCAATATTTTTTTCAATCACGATTTATATCCTATCAGCATTGGCTTTCATCTTTCTTTTTTTTTGTTTTGTCTTCCATTGTTATTGTTATATTTTTTGTCGATTAACTGATTGTTTGGTTAGTTGGTTGGTTAGTTGCTTGGTTGGTTGGCTGTTGGTCTGTCAACCAGCTGACTGGTTGGTCAGTGTGTTCCAGTTTTAAGGTAAGCTTGAGGCATATACAGTTACGAGCTATGGTTGTGAAACATTTGTAAAAAAAATAGACGTACAATGTTCGTTCACCCAGTTAAAAACAAACAATAAACGTTCGAACTTGTTCACTGTTCACTCTTGATGTTTGACAAGACTTTTTCATCTGATGTTTCAATGAAAATTTGATGAACTAACTGGTTGAAGATGGCGGTGGTGGTGTTTAGTCGAAAATCTCTTTCATTGCTGAGAGTTATAGATCCACTTTTCATAACAACGAACATACTTGGACTGACAGCGTTTCAACAAGCAATCAATTTGATTTCTACTTACAAATACATCGAAATCGATTTTGACCGCCCCAATCATCAATTTATTATTTTTAAATTTAAATAGCAAACTTGTTCTTATTTTTAAATAATAATAATAATAATATTTCTACTTATTTAAATTATTTCACTTGGTTATCAAAATAACAATTGAATATTTTGCTAGAATGATTCAATTTTGTGATAAAAATAACTTTAATAATTGATTCTTAGGAGAGCGATGGCGAGAAGAGTGAGCAGGATCTCGTGGTTGATGACGATAGACAGGTAGGTGGCGTTTTGTTGTTGCTGTTGTTGTTGTTGCTGTTGTTGTTGTTGCTGCTGCTGTTGTTGTTGGTGTTGTTGCTGTTGTTGTTATTCTTGTTGTTATTGTTGTCGTTGTCGTCGTCGTTGTTGGTTTTCATATAGTTGGTCGTCAAATTGTGGTTATTGTTCTTTGTTATTATATCCATGTTGCCTCGCTATGGATTTCAGAATCGGCTGAATGTTCCTTCTTGCTCAGAAAATTTTATGCAGTTTTTATGTTAATATAATCTATTCTGAAGTTTTTATTACCTACTTTATATGGAAACTACTGTTCCGCTGTCGTTTTTTCACCGATTCCTCTTCCTTCACTCCATCTTTCATAATTTGAATTTATTTGGAGCATATTTACGGCATTTATAACGTTTGATATTTCCCATTATTATTGTTTATTGTATATATATTTATAATTTTTATAATTCAGCAATGTAAGCGACAAATTATTTTTTAATTTAATTTTAAACTTGCTTATAGAACGTTCCGCAAATAAATTCATCCTGTCTGCTTCAATCAAGTTTTCCATTCTTCGCCGATCACAACAATCAAATTTCCATCTGTTAATCTATCCATCCGTTCATTTATTAAAACATCAAATCTCCAATTCAACATGATTCAAAACATTTCTGGACTCACCATAAATATTCTTCCTGTGTCCATACATTTATTTATTTGTGCTACTCGTCTCTAAATTCATTAACGATTTTTTCAATTCGTTCGTTCTTTCACTCATTTGTTTCCGTCATCATAAGTATTATTATTTATTATTAACCAGCGCGATTGATTACTTATAGGTCAGGGGAACATAGATCGATGATAGACTATATATTGGTAAGAGCCAAACATAGGAAGTATGTGAAGAATGTGAAGGCGATACCTGGTATGTTGCAGCATAGTATGGTTGTGATGGATGTGACATCAAAAAAAATGGGGAGGAGGAAGAAGGATAAGTTTGTGGCAAAGAAAAAGACATGGAAGTTGCAGGATGCAGAGGTGAGGAAGTCATTTGAAGTGAAGGTGGCTGAAAATTGGGAGAGTGGTAAGGATGGAGATGTTTGGGAGAGATACAGGGACTGTGTGTTGGCTACGGCAGATAAAGTATGTGGATGGACGAAAGGAAAGTGTAGGCATGGTGAGACGTGGTGGTGGGATGAAGATATAAGAAGGGTTTTGGAAGTCAAGAAGGAGAGGTTTAGGATATGGAGAAGGGACATGACGGAGGAAGCGGAGTCTGAGTATAGGAAGGCTAAGAAGGTTGCAAAACAGGCAGTGGCAACTGCAATGACGAAAGCATCAGATAGGTTAATGAAGGAAATGGAATTTGATGTGAGTTCGAGGAAAATGTTCAAAGTAGCAAAGCAGTCAATGAGGGATAGGAAAGATGTTATAGGGAATGGATGTGTTTGGGATAGATCTGGCAAGTTGTGCATAGATGAGGAGGAAAAAGCTCAGGTGTGGAAAGCTCATATGGAAAGGTTGATGAATGAAGAGAATGAGTGGGATGGAGATGTGGAATCCGCGGTTACACACGGACCTATAGAGAAGGTGACGATGGAGGAAGTAGAGAAAGCAGTTAGAGAAATAAAACTAGGTAAGGCGACAGGGGTTTCGGAAGTGGCGGCAGAACATATAAAAGCGAGTGGGGTGATAGGAATTGAAGTTATGATGAGAATTGCTAACAGTATGTTTGAGATGAAGGTATACCTGAGGATTGGCGACACAGTGTGTTGGTGCCGTTGTATAAGGGCAAAGGAGATGTGAGAGATTGTGGGTCATATAGGGGTGTGAAATTGCTAGAGCACGGAATGAAGGTAGTGGAGAGGGTGCTTGAGAGGAAGGAGGTTGAGAAATATGGTGACAGTTAATGAAATGCAGTGTGGGTTTATGCCTGGTAGGGAACGGTGGATGCGTTGTTCATGGTGAGAATGTTGCAGGAGAATTATAGAAAGAAGAAACGAAGATTGTACATGTGTTTAGAGTTCGTGTGGGATGGATGAAATTTAGGGAACTGGGTGGGGTATTTTGTGGAAAGAAATGGTCAGTGAAGATGAAAGGGAGGGTATATAAAGCATGTGTGAGAGCAGCGATGGTATATGGTGGTGAAACTTGGGTGTTGAGGAGAGAGGAGGAAAGTGTACTGCAGAGGGCTGAAAGAGCTATGGTGAGGATGATGTGTGGGGTTAAAGTGGAGGATAGGAGGAGTAGTACAGAGCTGATGTCAATGATGGGACTGAATGAGGACATTGTGACATTGATAAGGAGATCGAGATTGCGGTGGTATGGACATGTGTTGAGAAGGGATGAAAGGGTCGGGATTAGGCGAGCGTTGGAGTTCGAGGTTGAAGGAGTGGTAGGAAGGGGTCGTCCGCGATTGGGATGGAGAGAGCAGGTGGAGAAGGACAGGGTGAAAGCGGGGTTGCGTGATACTGAGGCGAGTGACAGATGTGGATGGCGTCGAGGGGTATTTCGGTTTCATCATAGGTAGCCAAACGGCAACCCCCGATCTCGGGGAAAATGCCGTCTAAACGTGTGTTGTTGTTGTTTCACTCATTTGTTTGTTTATTTGTGAGTTTTGTGTTCATTTGTTTTATTATTCTTTGTTTCATGCTCACTTTGATTCGCAGTGTTCTTATTTCTTTTTATTCATTCATTCAATTTTTCATCCATCCATCCATCCATCCATCCATCTCTGCAGTCCTCCACGCCAATGAACGGCACCAGACCACAGAGCAGGGATGCTGGCAGTTTCTCCGAAAAGATTTCCTCGTCATCGTGCAGAAAGGACCTAGTGGTGGCCTGCAGTCCCCGCAGCGAGTCGTCATCGCACTGCTCCAACTCATCGCAGAACAGACACAACAACAAAGAGGTTCACATCTTCGATCATTACTTTTCATCGGTTTTCATTCAAATTGTCTGACAGTCTTAGTTGCACGAACAAAGACTGCACATTTTCTGCTACAGTTGACAGCTTATAAGTGTACTTGCATGGATGTTTAGGTCAGAACCATTTACAACATACGCAAAAAGTGTCAAATAAAATTTCAAAGTTGGACTAACAGATTTGAACCAGGTCAATGCGAAACATGGTACTATAGATGTTCCAAACCGCCTGAGCTATGTGGTGACGATATGTGGTGATGATATAATGATATTATGGTGACAAAGTGGTGAAAATGTGATGTACGTTACGCTGTGACAATATGGTAATGAGAGGATGTGATGATGGTGAAGTGAGGAAGTTTGTTTTTGTTATGTTGATCATAGTCCTTATGCCGTTAGGTAATACAGCATGTACTGTAAGATTTCCCGGTTATAAAAAAATTTTTTTTAAACCATTTTAATGATTACTTTAATATTTATTTAATAACAATGACTATCTTTCCAGAATATATCAGGCTCCAAGGGGCCTTCCTCTCCAATCACTATCGGCCCACCAAATTCTGTCTCACCCCCCGACCACAAGTCCAAACAGTCACAAATGGGTCACATTTTATTTTCATCATTTTGTCATTGTTTCAATCGTTCTTATTGTTTTTTGTTTAGTTCAGTTTTTTCAAGTGCCAGAAGGCAGTTGTAACATTTTTTGAAAATCAATTTTTTAAAAAGTCATAAGTAATTTGATTGTTTTAAAAAAAATAATAAAATATATTGTAAATATGAAAAGAAAAATGATCTATGCTGGCCATCAATTTGAAAAAAAACAATCTAATTATATAAGACAAATCTAATCATATATCACAAATCTAATGATATAGCGCACAAATATAAACTAACGCCAGCAAACAAAACTTTAACGATGTCAAGCAGAAACTTAGCAACAAAAACAACGGCGACATCAAACTCAACATCACACCACCACCACCAACAACAACAACAATAACGGTAGTCACCAACAAGAAAAACAAACACGCCAACAGATGCCATGGGTCGAATAGACCCCTCCAGCATCCCACCACCGGGACTCCTCCCACCCACCGCCATTGCAGCCGCCATGAATGGCCTCTCACCTGGTGCACTCTCATACCTCAGACCACAAATGGTGTGTGTGTGCGTGCATGTGTGGGTGCATGTGTGTGTATGTGTGTGTGGTGTATGTGTAATTAATTGTGTTTGCATGAGATACGAGTGTACATTAT